CCAGCACAGTTCTACTTTTACTGATCAAACACATATAATTAACCCTTTTTGGTAGCGTGTTTACCTGAGCTTTCCTCTGGAGAGTGAAGCTCATAGAGAACAGAGACACAAGCTGATTAAGTAAACATTTAATCTGACAAAAAGATTCACAGTGCTGAGTACAAAATACAGAAATAAATGACATACAGATAACAAATTGCAAAATAGTACATAAAATAAAATAGGAGAAAACACAAGAAATTCCTTACATATATTTACCCCATATAGAATTCTTGTGGGAGTCTTAGATGGTATAGGTCTCCTAGAAGTTGCTGACCAAAGGCAAAAAGAACTCTCTGGATAGTCCAGCACCCTCATTATATATCTAAACTAGTTGTTGCTCAGTAGGCAGACCCGTGGGGGGGGATCAGAGGGGGTTGATCTGGCAGTTTATTGCCCACTCTATGCAATTTCTTGTGTCCAGCTCTGGTGATGGCTATCTAGATGTTTTATGGTCTAGGCCTGGTGCCAGATCAAAGACCACAATAAATGTCATCCCAAGGTTTACAAAAAAACAACTCTTAACATATATCAATACATGAAACACCAACTCATGCTTTTGGCATGACAGCAACATACACTCACTTTTTGTGAGCAGGGCTTTGCTAACCACACCCCCAAAATGTATAAAACCTCATATTTTCCAAAAGCACAGTACCCTGTTGTGATTCCTAGTGTCCTTAGTGTACCAATAGCGTTCTTTTGTCAGTTTTGTATATTTTGGTAATAATAAAGAATAAACCAGATTGTATATTTTGGTAACCGGCTTGCTCTCGACTACTCTGTTTTCTGGCTCCCCTGACTTGGCTTTGTTTCTCGTATTTGTGTATTTCTGACTCCCGTGGCTCGGCTTTGTCTCTTTTATTTGTGTGTTTCTGGCTTTCCTTGACCTTGGCTTGTTCTGACATTCTTTGTATTTTATTCTACCTATTCAGCCATTCTAAGGACCTGTTTAGGAACCTTTTGTCTGTCTCTATTTCTTCTTGAGATTTTCACTCTGCGTGTTGGGTTATAACGTTACACTAGCAGTATAAAAGACAGCTGAAGTTATTCTAGGTGGTTATTATTTTCTAGGTAACATTGTGTTTTTAAGAGTGTTTTTATTATTAATGGTGCTAAAGTTAAAAGAGGATGATATTAAGAACAATGATTGGCAATGTTAGATTAGGTGGGTAACATATTTTTTTTCTTACAGTTCCTCATACTGAGGTTGTTCATACTTATAAAGCTGTAATAATTTGTGTACTCTGCTGGAGCGTGAACTTTCTGTGGTAACTGTGTATTCTTTACCTAGAGACCTTTCCCTTCTACCTGGCCAGCAGCAGCAATTTGGTGAGTATGTACTATGTTTCTTGTTTATTTAGTTCTTCTGATTTATCCTTTTTGTTTCTATGCTGGAACATTAGGCATTCTTTTGGACAGCACCGGTGTAAAAGGATTCAATGGACCTCCAAGGGTGAGCAGTAAGGGAACAAATGAGTTAATTTTCTACATTTTGCAGGTCATGAAAAGAGAGAAGCTAGCAGACAGTAGCTACCAAACCCACTCATTTATTAACCCCTAACCAACAAAATTGGGAGACATCCAGTGGCAGGATGTCATGTATAAAACAGTCTTTTAGTTCCTCACGTTTAATAATTTAAAGCCTCCATTGCACAGGGGTTGCTCATTTTTTCATCTGCACTATTTGTAAAACTACTGGAATTTCCAGTAAGGAGATGTAGATGGTCATTGAGGAGGTCTTGCACTCAACCATATGAGTTGTCTGGATACAAATGTATTAAATGTGAAAGTTCCTACAATCTGTATTTAGAAAAAATATCTATACAATGAAAGAGCAAAAAGGAAGAAAACAAAAAAAATTACTACCAAAGAGTGTCTCCTGATTACATGTGGTGTGAGAATTAGTTATTGTCACAAAGAAATAGTTATATAATAGAAAGTAATGAATATAAAGTGTGAATAAAAACATAACTTTTAATGGTTACTTTTAAGAAAACCATAGACTGTGGAAATACAAGGTAAAAATCCAGATATTAAATCCTGGGTGAAAAAATAATATATATATATATATTGTCTTGCTATAGCAGCACTAAGCGTTCTGTCTATCTAACTGCCTGAGAAAAACCTCAAAGTATCAAAATGAAAGATTATATAATGAAAAAGTATCTATTTACACAATGTTATACAGGGCAGTTTGGGGCATCCACCTCACAGGTGTGGCATCTTGATATGCCACACCTGTGAGGTGGATGGATTATCTCGGCAAAGGAGAAGTGCTCACTAGCACAGATTTAGACAGATTTGTGAACAATATTTGAGAGAAATAGGCTTTTTGTGTACATAGAAAAAGTCTTAGATCTCTGAGTTCACCTCAAAATGCAAAATTGTTGCATTTATCATTTTATTCAGTGTAGTAACAGTATACTATTAGTATCCTTCAAATCTACAGCTGGATATCAGGGGTTGCTGTTATCCTGTGGCCTAGCACAGTATACCATGTGCGTCCTGGACAAACCCCATCCTCTTCATCCTTTCTCTCTATTACCCTACTTCCCCTGGTAAGCCCTCTTTATTTACATGCCTAACATGACCGTCGGTTCTGGCACGCTTCAACCAACATCATTCCTGTTCGTGTGTGTGTGTGTGTGTGTCTATATATATATATATATATATATATATATATATATATATAGACACACATACACACACTAAAATGTCAGTTGTAGTGAGTTGAACATTTACAAGAAAAATAATGGAGTACAATTCACTGTTTATGGGGAGTACAATTTCAGTCTGTTTTGCTCATTTCATTTTATGCAACTAACTGCAATACTTTCTGGAGAATACACTGAACAAACTATATTATTGCTATAATGGGATTGCTAGACAGTAAATGAGCCCTTAAATTCTGATGCATTTAAACTGTTCTCCCCATGGAATGCTGCAAATGAACCTAGTATAGCAAACAATGAGTGTTATTTTAGATGCACGAGTCAGGCACAAAATAAATAAGCTATATAATGGTTGGAATAATTAGTATAACATTTTAGGGACAGTTACATTATACCCATGACAAAATGTCACATAAATGTATCTCATTGCAAAGCGTTATTTACAAATGAGAAAAAGTATTTCAAAACAATTTTTACTTATCGAATGGGCAAGAAAGGATATGATTGGAAGTAATGAACTAGAAAACAAGTTAATGTTGATAGATAACATTAAATATACTATGATGTATTCAGAAATATGCAAAAATAAAAACCAGAAGAGGCTACATTTAAATAGGTTGTTAGAATCTTAACCACTTGGTTTCTTTTTTGTTTATATCCTGAATGCATGCAAACTTTGTTGTAAGCTCAGTCTGTCTGTCTGATTGTCTGCCTGTCTATCTATTTATCTGATTAAAGTGAGGTGACCTGAGGTACATACTTCCAGTCATCTTAAACACACACATCTGCACACATATAAATTCATAATCAAAGACAAAAACAAAATACATAATCTCAGAAATCCACATCTATCAATCTGTCTGTCTATATCTCTATCTATCTGTTTCTTTATTTGCCTATTTCGTTGCTAAGGTTTTTTTTGTTTGTTTTGTTTTTATTTAATCAATATAGTGGCATTGTCACTTAATGAACAAAGGCAATGAAAATTCCAAATGTGAAAGTTGATACAAGGTGTCTTAGTGGTATTTAGAGTTTCTGTCTCCAAAAAGAGTAAGTTGTATCTAAAAAAAAAGTAAATACCAGTGAAATAGGCCAATAATGAATAGAAGATCGGACAGCATCACTTTGCACTGCAGTGTATTACAATTCTGCTATTAGTGCCACTTCAAATTACAAAATTTTAATTCTGCTTAAGTGCTTGCCAATTTACTTGACAAAGACTCAAGCAGAGCCAAAATGTTTTGTAAGATGGCACTAATAAAATAATTATAATACGCTGGATTAAGGAGTGCTAGGCATTCTTTCATTTCCTTCAATGTTATTACTGGCATGCGGGACTGGAATCTCTGCAACATCAGATGTTGATTACTGACTTTTCATTTATGGTGTAAATATCATGAGATTGAAAACTGAATTAAACATTTATGTGTTTGACACCTTCACTGTTAATCTATCATCTTCCCATTCAGGGAGTAGATACTACATGCCAAAACATCTTACATCAATGAAAACACGCATCTGTAGTATTTTACAAATAAATTGTTCAGTATGTTTTTCTATAATTAAAATATTTAACATATCTTAGACTTATGTATGCACCCTGTTCCAAATTATTATGTAAATTATATTTTTCTCATTTACCTAAATAATTGATGTAAATAACAGTCAGCATGAGATGGTGCATTGTCATGCATGAAGATGATTTTATTACAGAAAGCTTAGTTCTTCCTTCTGTACCAGGGAAGAAAGTGGTCAATCAGAAACTCCGCATACTTTGCAGAGGTCATCTTCTTTACACCTTCGGGGACCCTAAAGGGGCCTACCAGCTTTCTTCCTATGTTTCCGGCCCAAAACATGACTCCACCACTGCCTTGCTGACGTCGCAGCCTTGTTGGAACAGGGTGGCCGTCCAGCAACCATCCACTACTTCATCCATCTGGACCATCCAGGGTTGCACGGTACTAATCAGTGAACAGGACTGTTTGAAAATTAGTCTTCATGTATTTTTCTGCCCAATGCAGCCATTTCTGCTTGTGAGCATTGGTTAGTGGTGACCGAATAGAAAGTTTATGCACAGTTGCAAGACTCTGGAGGACTCTACACCTTGATGTCCGTGGGACTCCAGAGACACCAGCAGCTTCAAATATCTGTTTGCTGCTATGTAATGAATTCCGTTTCTGCCTCAGTGGATAAAAGTAGCATCCGGTTTACCCCTTCCTAGCAAGGTGTTGTAATCATATCTGATCCAGATGAATCAGGACAGATAAGAATGACTGCATTCTGATATCAAATACCTTTGTGAGGAGTTTGACGTCCACAGTAAGAAGGGAGATTGGGTGATAGGTGCCGCAGGTCTCCAGGTCTTTCCCACAGTGATTGTGGTTCCCAGAGATTCTGATACATTTTTTTTTCCCCAGCTACCACGTTAAGCACTTTTGTTAGCTGATGTACTAACTGATGGGCAAACTTTTTATAATATCCAACAGAGAACCCATCGGGGCCCAGCGACTTCCCTATTTTAGCCAGTTTAATGGCATTGGATATTTCCTCTTCATCAATGGGAGATTCAATCAGCTCTGCTGCTTCTGTGGACACCGAAGTCAGCATAAACTCCCGTAAAAACTCTGCAATCTGATTAAGCCTCTGACCCATGTGTGCAGTGGAAGGGGATGTTGTACAGTGAGGAATAGTATGACCGGAACTTATCCGCAATGTTGTTTGGGAAGGGAGACATCGCCCTTGATGATAACTTTATGAACTTGGGTACGCGGTTGTGTGCCACACAACATCTGACCAGTAGCCTACCCCCTTATCACTGTATCACCCTGTGATGCCTGTGTGTGAGGACCTCTGTCAATTTGCACCTAGTCTCTAATAAATCTCTATATACTCTCTGGTTAAGATTGTTTATGTTGTGTTTCCAGGACAGTAACCTTAGAATGCTGGAGTGCTTCCTTCTTCTTGCCATTGGCTATACGTATCAAGGTACCTCCCAACATGCTCTTATGAGTCTCCCATACAGTGACAGGTGACATTTTCCAGAAAATAGTGGTTTAATGCCTTATTGATCTGTTCCCCTTACAGTAGAGTCCAGTAATAGCGCTTCAATAATAACTCCTCACTTGGTTGCCGATCAGATTAAAGGGGATTCTAGCTCAATATGGACTGGTCCGTGATCGGACCATGTTGATGGGCCAATATCCACCATGAGTAAGTGGCCTACTTGTTCTATAAACAAATAATGAATCCAGGATTATCGGCCATGAAGGGCAGAGCGATGTACACTCTCTAGCATCAAGTTTGATCTCCCTCCAGCAATCTTCCAATATTAGTTCCTAAAAAGCTAAACGAATAGCTTTAATGTCTAAGTGAGGAATGCAACTGTGTCCTGTGGAAGAGTCTAAAAGTAGATCTAAAGGTGTGTTAAAATCCCTGCCTAAAATCACTCTACCCTCTGAGAATTATTTCAATTTGCCTAGTGTTTTGTTGGGGCAGTTTTCTGCAGTTGGGGACATATAGGGAGACTAATATATACATATTACAAAAAAATAAGTCCTGTGCTCAGACACCCACTACTCATGGGTGGCAGCAATGACGATAGTACCCATCATCCCAATACATACAATAAAAACATATGTATCATGTCCACCACTTTGCCTTTCAAGAATAAATATACCTGCCCTCTGGATCTGAACATTGGACAAGTTTCTGAAACTGTAACATTGCTGACATTAATGCTGCCCCTCTTGCCCTACAGGCCGAGTAATTGCTGAAGAAGGTAACTGGATATGATCAGTTCTTAGGCTATCGGGCAGCTCCTTCTAGGAAATGGCCCAAGAGCTTATAGTGCCAGGAAACGGGTTTGTTTTCTTGGCATTATAGGATCCCTTTAAGTTCTCTTTTTTAGAAATTAGATCTGCCCTCAGGGATATTCATTCCTCTGCAGTTGAGGGTAATTACAGACAAGGGTAGGTCATCCAATCATGTCAATGAAGAAGGCTCAAGTCACCCTCTATCAGTGAGGAGTGCACCACCCAAGGGTGTGACGGGCAAGAAGACCAGACCCACACAACCAGGTATAGGTATATGAGGTATCTTGGCCACATCCTGTGCCAAGTCAGGGGCAGAAGGTGGTCAATAAAGCCTACAGGAATTAAGAGAAAGAAAAGAAAAAGAAGGTGTCAGAGCACCAATTATAATAAGAGCAAAAGAATAAAAATAAGAAAGGATGAGGTATATCAAAGAGAAGAAATACACATCACCAGAGACAAAAGAGGTCACCACTATCCCACCTAAAATCAGAGGGGCAGCATGCCATTATTGTCTTATCTGGCAATCAGACCCCGAGCAACCAGGCACCAGCATCCCACCACAAAACCACACACAGCTCTGACCCCCCAAACAACTACTGCACACAACTCTCTCTGCTATGTTCCTTCTGCATGCCTGCCATATTACCCTGCTGTAACATAACAAAGATTCTAAAGCCCGGATAAAAACTTTACAGAATAGCACATAAGTCATATATTTAAAAAGAGCATGACCAAGTGAACTAAAAGGACCCAAGTACCTCCCCTGCAACTCCCATTTCACCATGCCATCCCCTGCGAGGACCCACACAAATCCAACAACTGCCACAGTAGTAATTCCCAAGTCCTTCATAAATATGCTCAGTTATTTGGGTTTTATCTGAAAAATAATAAATACAACTATTTACTACATATATATATATATATATATATATATATATATATATATATATATCTCGTTTAGGAGCATTTATGGTGATTTCTGACTCTGTTCTCAACATGCTTCTGAAATAACTTAACCATCTGGAATTTTCACATTTTTGAACAGGAGCCTAGATTTGAAATTGTATAAATAAAGTAATCATATTTTTATTAAGAAAAACATAGTAACATACTTATCTGAAAATGAATGAAGTCACTGCAATGGATCAACAGCTCTCAACAGTATGTTTGTTTTCTAAATCTTTAAATAGAAATGGAAATGAAGAGAGTTTAAATATATTTTACCAAGATCTAAACATCTCTATTATATAGAAATCTATATTAAAATTCAGCAGGTTTAAGTCAGTTGTAGTCATCAAGTGTACTAATTTACTCTGGATCTCCTCATCCTATCTGAGAAAGTGTGAAAAATAACAAATTACTTCAGGTATTGCAATACCTATTATGGACATGGATTA